AGCCCGCCGCTGCCCCAGCCGGATGGCCCCACACCAAGGGAGCCCCGCCAGCGTCTGGGCGCCCCCCCACGCGGGCCTGCCCCAGAGGCAGGGCCCCCCACTTGCGATCCTCTACCCAGTGCAACTCTGGACCCCTGTGATGGCCAGGGGGCGCAAGGAGCGGCCTCCTTTGGCTCTCCCGCTGGCCACACGGCCGGGAGCCGCCCGAGGGGCCTGCGGGGCTCAGACCCTGCGTCCTGCCTGCCGGAGGCACTGCCAGGCCCCGTGGCTCCAGGGACACTGGGCTTCTGTCCTCGCTGGGCCAAGGGAGGCTGGTTGTGCCTATGCTCGGGTCACACAGAGGGCAGGGAACCCCGGGAGTTCCCAGGGTCACAGCCGTGCCTGAGCTGCAGCCTGTCCAGGCTGACCCTGCTGCCCTCCCGCAGAGCACCTGGTGAATGGGCGGATGGACTTTGCCTACCCCGGCAGCGCCAACTCCCTGCAAAGGATGACGGTGGCCAATGCCGCCTATGGCACCCACCTGAGCCCCTGCCCGGCCCAGCCCATGCTGAGTGCGTCCTCCACGCTCACGCGGGACTACAGCTCCCTCACCCGCACGGAATGCTCCACGCTGCCCCGGGACTGCGGCACCCTGGGCTCCCGCAGCCTCCACAGTGAGTGCCGCCTGCGTCACTCCGCTCTCGGCCAGCTCCTCCTCCGTGCCCCCTCCAGCTCTCGGCCAGCTCCAGGGTGCCGGCCAACGCCCTCCCCACTCTGCCCTGCCCTCACTGTTGTTTGTCCTGCCCTAGGCCTCCCTCCCATCTGGGAAGACGGGAGGAGCAGGCTTCCGCTGTCCTGGGCCCTGGGGTCCCGGAGTCTGGCTCAGATGAAGGGGGTCCCCACCTCCAGACACCAAGACTCTATAATCCTGGCTGGGCAGCAGGCTGCACCCTCTCGGGGCCCAGGTAGTATTAGGTGGCCAGCCGCTCCCCACAGCCGTCCTGCCCCATCTGCCGTCCATCCACAGCCGTCCTGCTCCATCTGCCGTCCACCCACACTGCCGCCGCCGCTGCCCACGCCATCCTGTCCCCTCCCTTCCATCCACATCCGTGCTGACGCCTAAGGCAGCCTCTGCCCTCCAGCAGTGGGGGCCTGGGGCTCGGCAGCAGGGGCCAGGCGGGTGGTGGGAGGTGGGCAGGGCACGGGCCAGTGCATGAAGCTCATGCTGTGTCGGGCACAGGCCAGCCGAGACGCTCACCCCCTCTGAGGACGCGTGGGAGGGGCGGGCAGCCTGGCGAGGGCGTTTGCAGGGGAGCAGCTCCCGGGCACACTGGCTGGCCGGCCGGAGGCCCAGGGCCCGAGCCCGGCTCACCGCGGCCTCCCTCCCCAGGTGCGCGCTCCGCGGCAGGTGTCACGCCCAGCCGCCTGGTCTTCTCGGCCCTGGGACCCACGTCCCTGAGAGTCAGCTGGCAGGAGCCGCAGTGTGACCGGGGGATACAGGGCTACAGCGTGGAGTACCAGCTGCTGAGCGGCGGTGAGGGGCGGCTGTCAGAGTGGGGGGTACCCTGCCCCCACTGCCCAGGGACGCCCAGCTTCCCAGGAACTGGCCCTGATGTGAATGCTCCCCACCGCCTCCACTCCTTCCCTGAGTATTCGTCCATCTCCCTGGGCCTATTCCCTCTGCTGGCTAGCAACCCAGGCCCACTGCTGGCCTGGAGCCTGCCTGTGTGGGAGCGGGCAGCACTCGGCGGTGTCATGAGGACCTGCGTCCACGTGGCTCCATTCAGCCTCGTTCAGTGCACACCCTGAACAACCAACCTCGCCACGCCAGGCTGATGCCGCCTGCAGCCAACCTGGGTGGGGGGCGGCCAGGTCTGGGGCAGCTTTTCAGAGGGGACAGATCAGGCCAGGAGTCTGGATAAAGCTGCCCTACGCGCCCCCCCAGGCGAGATGTATCGACTCAACATCACCAACCCCAGCCAGACCTCCGTGGTGGTGGAAGACCTGCTGCCCAACCACTCCTACGTGTTCCGCGTGCGGGCCCAGAGCCAGGACGGCTGGGGCCCGGAGCGCGAGGGCGTCATCACCATCGAGTCGCAGGTGCACCCACAGAGCCCGCTCTGCCCCCTGCCGGGTGAGTCGCCCCCCCACCCGGGAGCTGCCTCCTCGCGCCCCCCACCCCCACTGACACTCTCCCCCTGCTGCCCCCAGGCTCTGCCTTCACTCTGAGCACCCCCAGCGCCCCGGGTCCACTGGTGTTCACCGCCCTGAGCCCAGACTCGCTGCAGATCAGCTGGGAGCGGCCGCGCAGGCCGGATGGGGACATCCTCGGCTACCTGGTGACCTGTGAGCGGGCCCAAGGAGCAGGTGCTGCCCACCCCAGGGTCGGGGGGCCCGGGGGAGGGTGGCGTGGGAGCCAGAGAGGCTAAAGGCATCCTCCGTGCCCAGAGCCAGCCACCACGTTCCTGGTGGAGGGCGACAGCCCCGAGAGCCGCCTGACCGTGCCGGGTCTCCTGGAGAACGTGCCCTACAAGTTCAAGGTGCAGGCCAAGACCACCCAGGGCTACGGGCCGGAGCGTGAGGGCATCATCACCATCGAGTCCCAGGATGGAGGTGCGGCCTCGCCCCTTCTGCCCCGCCCCTTCTCTGGCCACGCCTCCTGCGGCCCCCTGTCCTGACTGGCCCTTCTGGCCCTCCTAGGACACTTTCCCCAGCTGGGCAGCCACTGCGGGCTCTTCCAGTACTCACTGCCCGGCGAGTACAGCACCATCACCACCAGCCACACCAGCACCACCGAGCCCTTCCTACTGGGTGAGTTGCCCGGCGGGCTCCTGGCCTCCCTGGGGGAGCGCGGGACTCACAGGAACCTGGGCGTCCTCAACGCCTCTTCCCCGGCAGAGGGGCTGAGCCTGGGCTCCCAGCGCCTGGAGGCAGCGGGCTCCCTCACCCGGCACGTGACCCAGGAGTTTGTGAGCCGGACAATGACCACCAGTGGCACCCTCGGCGGCCAGATGGACCAGCAGTTCTTCCAGAGCTGAGCACTGGCCCGCCCTCCAGCGTCTGGGGATCCCGGCCCCACCTGCCTGCTCTCTCCCCTACTGCTGCTTCAGCATCTCCATCCCCAGACCCCTTGCGCCCAGCCCAGGGCAGGCTGATCCCAGGCCAGTGCCCCTGACCACAGCAGGGGCTGGTGTCCTTGGGAGGCGTGTGAAGCCTGGGCAGTCCCAGGCGGCCCTCGGGCTGCCCCCCCCCAGCCCCAAGCCCGTTTGTGACCAAAGAGCTGGGACTGGCCTGGCGGGGACCCAACTTGGCCCTGCATATCATACACATAATAAATGATCCTGTTACCACCCGGAGCCGCCCTAGCCGTGTTCCAGGGCTGAGGAGGTGCCGGCCCAGAGCGGGGAGCGGTCCTGACACCCTCCTCTGCGCCCCAGCACGCGCCCACCTCAGAGGCCGCGGGTGTGGTGGTCGCAGGCACATGTTTATTGAGACCCAGAGTGGGCACCGGCACTGGACAGCGAGACCTGCCCGCCCGGTGCCGGGGCCTCACAGGCTCAACACCTTGGCGCCGTCTGCAGCCCGGGAGAGGTAGAAGGTGGCGGTGCCGCTGTACCGCTCCTGTGGGGGTGGGGGCAGGGTTGGAGGTGGCCCCG